AGCATCCCAACCGGGTTGTTTTTATACACGCACAAAGTAAATATGATTTGCGGGTTGAAAAAAAATGAGAGAGAGGTGTTCTAAAAAGGACAAACGGAGCCGATGCACTTCGATTATTTTTTAATTAAATTTGTGCGCGCGTTCGATTTTTATCCATCGATTTCAAAGGTACCGGACCACACCGGACGCCGTTTATGGCAGCACTGTAAAACACAATTATACGGGTCACATTAAGCGTTTCCGCGTAGGATTTCAATAGTTGTCTGCAATTTAGTTCGTAATTAAACCGAAATTAATGCAAATCAAATATCGATCGCGCGCAAAATGCAAAAAGTGTTTCGGATATTTATTTATTGCCATGTTTCGGTCGTTTTAATTGTGAAAATATTGCCGGAGATAAAACGGTCGCGTTATTGATTTTTGTTTTGTGTTCGAGTATTAAATAACCGCTAATAATTTTTGCATTATAAATATGCATTAATAAATTATTACCTAACGAGTACGCCTCCATTGTATTTCCACCGGTTTTAAACAAAACTTCGAAAATATACCACGTACGTTATTACATCCCAATGTTTACATAGCACTATTATTTTATGACAAAAAAAAACCTTTCAGCAATAATTATTTTTGAAAAAATATTTTCTGCGCAGAAATAAGATAGTTGAGGTTACTTAACATACAAAAGGAGTAAATCAAAGCATAAGTCGGCGAAGTTTTCGGATGCAATCTACGAGAGTTACTTAAATATAAAATGATATATTTATATTTCGGGCACGTATGGAGCCGGTTAACCCCTGAAAAGGGTGCAAGCTACAAGGGGTAGTTTGAAAATCAACCGGAATAATAAAAGAGATTTATGTTTACGGGCCCACTTTTATTTAAAAGAAATATTGTGTATGTGACTGCCGTGAAATATTTTTATTTTAGGGTAACCGCGCAATTAGAATTTATAATTCGTACCCGATCGTCAAACCCCTCTTTTGGCCACCCGCGAATCTCTCCTCGACTATCCAACCATAAATTTAAATTCAACCGAAATTTGGAAAACGTCCCAGTAGGTTAAAGCTTTCTTTTAATAAACGTCGACAGCTCTGTTTACACTTTTAAAAATTTTCAAAAACCCGCTAACATTTAACTCGAAACATCCCCCCCCCCCAAAAACAATCCCCTTCCTTCATTTCCCCCCTGGGCCGCACTGCAGATGCAATTTTCCATAATAATCTGAACCCGGCCACCCTAACTCATAGATATGCACATGTGCTCTTAATATCATTCCATAAATCCAAACGACCTTTTCTCTTGTACTTTTATGTGTTCATTTTCACACCAAATACAAAAAAAAAGAATATGTATTCATCTACAAGTATAACTTATAACTTAATGTAACTAAATTCCTAATTTCTCCTTATCTCGTATGGCATAGATGTGGCTTACTATTTAGTTAATTACTACTTTTGGCAAAAGTTTAGGTACTGTTAATGAAACTAAATCCTCCCGTAGGTAGATCTATAGGCATGAAAAAGTCAGGTTATTTAATTTAATAAAAGATGATCCAAAAAATGTGACAACTCCTCGCTGTACTCTGGAAGTGTTATTACTAGTGCTCGCACCACCCCAAGCAAGTGGAACTTAACTAATTAGAGTTTGGCAAAAGGAAAAATACGCTACGCGAACTAGATATAAAAAGGAGGCTGGGCAGGAAGGAAAGAAAATGGAAAGAAATGAAATAAACTGAACAGAGAATGGAAACTTAATTGAAGAAAGTGGTTGATTAGAAACTGGAAATCGATTAAAGAGAGTTGGCAAAAAGGAAGGAGACTGTAAAGTAAGAGATATTCTAAAAGAAGAATAGCAAAATTGTGAAGTGTCAGATAATAATAATAATCTTTATTATCTCAACGGAAAACACAGTATTCCCAAAAACGAGATAGTTAAAGCTAAAGTATTGAAACCCAAGTGAAGTGCACAGAGAAAAACTAAAGTAATAGAGACATATAAACTATAAGAAAGAAGAGTACTAAAAGTACCAATGACAGAAACAGAAAATGACATCTCGAAAAATAATATAGGCTTGGTCGTATCAACTGAGATAGAATATTTGACACATTCACCACACCCGACATCACATTGCGCACATACCTGGCAGACATATTCTTCCTTCTATCTTCTAGGCTAAGGAGATTGTAATGATGTAAAAGATTGATGAATCCAATGAACTTATGTTGTACTTTTTCTATGATGGCGATGTGTGTTAAAAAAGTCGGAGACCAAACGTTACAGCGGTTTTCAAGTTTGCTTCGCACAAGCGTAAAGTAAAGAGTAAGTACTGTTTTGATGTCTGCGAACTCTAAGCTATTTCTAGTAACAAAGCCACTTTGTTAATATGTTCGGTAAAAAACAAACCTGCATTAAACCATAGCCCGAGGTCCGTAACAGTAGAAATTCGCGGTAGATGATCCGTTCCAATCCTATAGTCAAAGTAAGCAATGTTCGTTTTCTGGCTGTACGTCATCACCTGACATTTAGATGTATTTAGGCTCATTCTGTTGTCAGTACACTATAAAGAAAACCTAGCCAGATCCAACTGAAGCGATATACAGTCTCATTCACTACCGATAGTGGTAAATAATTTGAAATCATCTGCGTAAAGAAGTGCATTTGTAGTGAAACACGCAGGCAAATCTTTCACAAAGACATTAAATAGTAGAGGGCCCAGAATGGAATCTTGAAGTACGCCACTACTTACGTTTATATACCTAGATTTAACACCACCCAGTTCAAGGTATTGGCTGCGATTAGACACATAAGTAGATGTATAAGAGAGTCCAAATTTCTCCAGTTTCGTCGTCAACAACGAAAAATCTAAACAGTCAAATGCCCGTGAGAAATCAGTGTATATTACATCAACCTCTCCACGACAGTCCAGTGCGGTAGATACATATTGGGCAAAACTTAGTAGGTTAGTGGTAGAAGATTTATCTCTGTGGAAACCGTGCTGACATTCCGACAATCGTGCTTTAGTGTACAATTCAATTTTGGATGCTACAATTTGTTCAAATAACGTTGCAAAGTGATTGATGAAGGCTATTGGCCGATAATTTTTCCCAATTTCCATATCTTTATAATTTCAGAGTTTTTGATTATTAAGTTGAAAATATGTAAGAATAAACTAAAAATGCAGAAATCCCATCTGGGTAACTGACTTCGGAGATACCGAATATAACAGGATTGGTATCATGACCAGCGCTACAGGTAACGACCTGTAGTTTCATCTGATGCAGGACAATACATAGCGTCGAAATGATCGGCAAAAAGTTCACTACTCTTGGCACATCAGACACAGTTTCACCGGCCCATTTGAGAACTATGCTATAATATCTGCAATGAGTTTTTCTATACAATTTGTGGTGGTCAGAAAATAATAATATAAGAAAGACATTGAAGAGAAACTGGAAATATAATAGAGAGACTGAGCAGAAGGAAGACTGCATACTGAAATGAGTTTAGGCAAGAATAAGACTAGGTAAACAAGAAAAACCCTGGAATGCTGATAATAAGAAGCCGCGCCTATCTTGCAGCCGAGGCGTTATAATGTGGCAACCAGTTTTGGGTTGATAAGGTTATAATTCTCGATTATCGAGAGAATCGCCAATATAAAACAAAATCAAACTTTTTTTATGTCAACTTTAGTTTTACTTATAACAAAAAAAAATGATAGTTGCTAGTTTATGGTCTAAAATAAAGATTAGATTAATTGGACTGTTATAATAATGGCATGTATTAACTTTGCCACACGGAGTACCTAATAACAGTGCAGATTTAACGCTCCCCTTTTTAATAACGAGTAATAAAATAGGATATTTTTAATTTTCCACCATCACGCGAACTTTTCCGTGGAATAAAATAGAAAATTGACAATATTCGCGAATGTGGGTCGTCGTAATCGCCGTCTCGTATTATTCGAGGATTTTTAATAATTCCCACAGCCGCGTTTTAACGACTCGTTTATCTTGAACGCAAATTCTCTTTTAAGGTGAACACGACGTGGCCATTAGCGTAAAGAATACAAACCGTTTGTTTTCCATTAGCACATGTACTTATAAACTAAAAAAAAAAGTACAAGAAGAAACGTCACTCTCATGGAATGCTTGTGCTAAAAAATTATTAAAATTTGAGGGATTTGTTTGAATGAGAATGTAAAGGTTTATTATTTTTATTACATCCCAAATTGCTTTCTGTTTATTCGCGAGCCGACTATACGATCGCCGTTTGCGTCGTATTTGCTTTTAATTATCAGGGTAGCATCATTTTCGCGTTGCGCCCTCACGATCAATCATTCAAAACTAACAGGTCGGGGCTTATTTGTGTGTAATAACAATTTGGAAATTCACGGGGGTTATAAATTGAATATAAATAAGTAAAATTTGGGAGCGGAGAAGAACACGGTGAAATGTCGATGGGTGACCCCGAAAAATAAAGCCTTAAAAACTTTTACTCCGTGTCCGGCTGGATATTGACCCAGAATACTTTCTCCACATTGGTCCATAATGAAATTTCAAGGCCAAACCCTAAACACTTGACCGGCCAAAAGAACTAGGTGTGTTTCTTAAGAAAGTAACATCTTGAATATGTATGGGAAACCGACTGGTTTATGTTTACCATCGTTCTATTTAACTATAACTTTCTAAACGGTTATAATTCTATTTAATTTGTACGATTCAATTTTATTAAAAAAAAAACTTTCATTTTCCACTTATATGAAATTCTTTCAATCAATTTTTCCAACTAAAAATATTACTTTATTAGTTTATCAAAGATTTTTTTTAAAGTTTTTACAATTTCCGGTTTATATTGCGTAATTTTTCCGTTACTTAATATTTTCACGGTCGGCCGAGAAGTGGAAATAGAAATTCTGCGTGCAAAGCGAAGGAATTCGTTTAAAATTCCATGCTAAAAAACTTCTCGGCATGTTAATTACGTAAATAAAAACGCTCAACGAGATTTTCAACTACTTTATTCTTCCATCAGTTCACACAAAATCGGTTTATTAAATTAAATTAAAAAATTAGAATAAAATAAAGAAAAGTAATTAATCTAAAAGTAAAATAAATATCGAGAGCTCTTTGGAAAGTGAAAAACAAACGTCTCCCTACACGCTTCTTTCCGACGTTTCGTCTTTTGATGGTGTCTTCAGGTCGTATTTATAATTTGTATCTGCCGTTTTCACGGATACGTAGCTCTCGGTGTCGCTTTTTTTCATTTCTGAGTCGTCCGACTTTAGGTAAATCGCTACATCGTTATCGTCAACTTTCTCGCCGCTCCCCTTACTTCCATTTTTGCTTTCTTCCGGTAATGCTACGACGGTATTCTTTACAGAACCTTGACTTTCTGTATCCGATCTACTATTCACCTCAATTGGTAAACTCAAATGTTCGTGAGATCCAAATTCTTGAGATGCAAATTCTTGAGATTGTTGTTGAGATATATGTTGTTGAGATACATGTTGTGGTTGTTGTTCAATAGCAGCTAAAATAGATTGTAATAACCCATCATTTAAAACTTGCTCATGCGGAATACCAGGGGAACTTGAATCAGCTCCTCCTAAAGCATCAGCTGATTGAATTTGTAAAGTATAACTTCCTAAAGCACCCTGAAGTGGGATATTGTTTAAATCTATGCTTTCCGATTTGACTAATTCTCCACCACCAAGGCTTCCCGCAAAAGATTTTGCATAAACATCTTGGGCTGCTTCACTAATTGAGTTGCTAGAAGCGGCAACTTTTAACGAATGAGATCCTGATAAATCTCCCGTTGGAATTCCGTAATTAAATTGGGGAGGAATGGGTTGGGATCCATGAGAGTTGCAATCATGGTGATACCCATTAGAATAACCAACGGTATTAAAATCGTAACCATTCGATTGTAGAGGAAGAGCATAAGATCCTTGTTGAGAATCAACAGCGTTAAAGTTTATCTCGCTGGTTAATCCGGCAGTTGAAGAACCATGAACCAGGTTTTGGAAGGAAACAGGTCTATCGATATGAGGTAAACTGTACAAATCACTAGGTTCATTAATTTCTTCTTTGACTGGTTTTAAATTTTGATTTATATCGGGCAACGGTGGGGTTATAAAACCAGATGTTTGAGCATGTCCCGATGAGATTGAATCTCTAAATACAACAGGGCGTTTTAAACTTGCTTTAAAATTATTAGCTGGTTGGAAAAGAGGAGTTCCATACTGATTACTTGGAGTAACCCCGTAAACTCCACTTGGTGGGATCAACCCAATATCTTTCGAAAAGTGTTGAACTCCAAAAGCGCTATTCACGTTATTATAATCATTACTTTGTGTAAATTTATATCCTTTAGACGAGGAATAAGAACTTTGTGGGTTATAAGTATCAAACCCTTGCAATTCATATCCCACACTTTTTACAACTGACAAAGCGTTATCTCCACCTAAACCAATTACGCTTAGATCTTGGTGATAATTTTGTTGATTCTGATTAATTTCTTGGTGATTTTGATGACTTTGTTGATGATGTGCTTCTCCTGATATTTGCACAACCCCACCAGATCCAGTAACTGAATTTAATGGAGCACCATAAGAATCAGAAACGACACCGGCAGATTTATAATGATCTTGGAGACCCAAAGAATCAATTCCAACAGTTCCTTCTTGCGGGGGAGTAAAATCTGAGTTTATAGTAGCATCAGTGGGTTGTGGAGAACCATAACTATTCGTTGGCAGACCATAACTATTCGATGGGGGGCCATAGTTATTACTAGGTGGATTATAATTATTACTTGGTGGACCATAAGTATTTTTTGGTGGTCCATAACTATCATTTGGTGGGCCATAACTATCTTTTGGAGGTCCATAAGTATCATGAAGTGGTTTAGACACTAATCCAGAAATTGGTTGCCAACCATCATATTTAATATCTGGTGGAGTTGGTGGTGCTGGAACTCCTGGTGGGGGACCATGAATTACAGGTTGTGGAGGGCCATGAACTACGTGTTGTGGGGGACCATGAACTACATGTTGTGGATGACCATGAATCACTGGTGGTGGTCCATATTGTTTAATGGGTTGTATACTTGGTGGTCCATAATTAACTGGTGGAGGATTTAAAATGGGAGCGTCAGGAATTGTTGGAATATAAATTGGTTTTGAAATGATTTTTGAGAGATGTGGTTTTGGTGGTCCATAATGTGGTTTTGGGGGTCCATAGACTGGTTTAGGGAAATAAGGTTTCCTTGGTGGACCATAAATTGGTTTCGGAAAATGTTGTCTAAAAGGAGGTCCATATTTAATTCTTGGCAATTTATATTTAGGTGCAAAACTAATTTTGGGCGGTGGATTTGGAACTCCGTATTGAGCCGGTAAAGGTGGAGGAACATCCGGTGGTGGTGCGGGGTAAATAATATTTTGTCCAAAATTAGGAACTCCATAAACCGGTATTGGTAAACTAGCATCCACTCCACCTATCAAACTATCTCCTATTCCACCCACTCCTCCCAGTCCACCAACTCCACCTATTCCACCCGGCGGAAGATAAGTATCTATTGGAGTTCCATAAATCCCAGTAAGATCAATAACAGCCTCTCGTTTATCAGCTTCTTGTTCGGTTTCAGCCGGAGTTGAATCGGTGACTTCCGCGGTAATATCTTTATTAATTTCCGAATTAGTTTCGGTACTGGCACTAATAGAGTCTTTTGTATTGGCACCGGAATTAACCACAGCATTGATTTGTTGGGCAGCTAGAGAGAGGCACGCAACCAAAACAAGCACCTGGGGACAAATATATCAATCAGTTTGTGAACAAAGTTGTCCGTTTCGAATAGAGCAAATTAAATCGACAATAAATATTAAAATAATCAGTAGCGCGGTAATTAAAATTACATCGTGCGTTTCGTTACACCAGAAGTGCGGCGTAAATTACGTGTCAATAATAAAGGTTCGAACTTCATCGAGCTCGCCGTTGTTTATAACTGGTTCATTATTGAAACGTTACCAGGCCACACGAAAAATCTACCAACAAAAGGGCCCAGGTTTTAAAAATTCTTTTGTTAGCAACGCGGAAATCCCAGGGACATAAACTGACCAACCTGATGCGTCCGCATTATGCGTATCCTCTTTTTTTGACTCCTTTATGTGGCACTTAACACTACAACTACAGTAACTTTATATACTACCGGTCCGTGCACTAAAAAGGGTGTCTTCACCTGGCCATCTCAACGAGTTTTTTTTAAATAATCGAAAAACTTCCAAAGATCGTTGTTATATAGAATAGCGCGGAGATGATCCCCACCTTCTTAATACAGTCGGCCCGGCCATAAAGGCATAGTAGGGATGCTAAAAAATCGACTTACGATTGGGAGAAAGTAGGATGAAGAAAGTGCATGTACAGAATAAGTATCACGCCTTGTCCGTGAATTAGAATGCAATGACGCGGTCCAAACGATGACCACACCGTTTCGTATCCTGAAGCGTTACATAAACTCTCTCGTCTTTTTCCTTTTTTATGAACCACCTTCATCTTAGTTCCAAACAGTACCATCACTATCATATAAATAAATCTTTAAATTCAAATCTCAAAATTTGGTTTTATATAAAAAATTATTTTTTAAATTAATACCTACTCAAAATTAAAAATTCTCCAAATTTAAATCTTTCTAATAAAATGAAAATATTTCACGAAATGCTAAAACCAAATTGATTAGGGATGAAAACAGCATACATTCATTAATATTAGGTGCCTATGGAAACAAATTGTAAGTAAAGACAACCTGATAGAAAAACATTTCTAAATATCGAAAGAGATTTACGTGAGATAGCAAGTTTAAGACAGAAGTATGTAAATAACGGGAATCAGAGGTCAGTTGGTACACCTAAACTAGAAGAAAACATTTTGGATTTTGTGACAGATCGTAGTACTGCTAGTACTATTGATAGCAACAGTTTAGACATTTCAGAATATCCAAAGATACGTCTTGGCATGTCCTTCATGAACAGCAATTGAATCCATACCATTGATCGAGAGTACAAGAATTAAAAATTGCTGATCATCCCTCTGTGTTGCCATACTATGATGGAAAAATGTACTATTGATGCTGTGTTTTCAGAAAAAAAGTACTTTTTGTAGATAACCATTAATTTGAAAAATGCTAAAGAATAATTGTACCGAAGAAAATCCAGATTTTATGCTACGTTGAGTAATAATTTAGAATCAGTTGGAAAATTTAAGGGTTTATACCATAATAACAAATTTTTAGTGTTTCAATATTTTCAAAATTGACCTTAAACGATTTCTCATGATAACATTACACTGCTTGCCAAATTTTATCCTTCTAAGACAAATCATATTGAAAATATTTAAGAAAATGTTTAAAAATATCTTAACTTTGATGGCCTATATCTTAGCCATTTATAGGTGTAGACCAAAAATTTTTACACGAGTCGTCATCATTTTGACTCTAGTATTTGTGATTAAAATTATGCCACGACTTACAGAAACGTCCTGTATACATCTTCTTCTCAGTCGAAATCTCGTATTAGAGAATCGTACTTTCATGTGTTGCTCTACAGCGGATTTCTCCATTCATCCCTGTTTTCAGCCATCCTAAATGTAATGTTTGTGATAAGGTCAGTGTATCTTATAGGGAATCTTCCACGCGATCTTTTGCTAGATCTTCGCACCACGTGTCCAAAAAATTTTCAATGTTTCCAGTCACCAGGACTGATTATTAACTCACTAGTTTTCCTCTGTGTTCATGGAATTCTTAGCATTCCGCGCCAGCAAACATCTCCAGGGCATCCATTTTCTTTTTGTGCTTCGTTTTTAACTACCAACGCTCTGATTCATAAAGAAAAATAGAGAATACCAGGTTCATTACCAGCACATGACTTCTCCATATGTTTGTTAGTCAAGTCATGGCTTCGCGCATTTCTTCATCTCTTTCCAGTCTTTCCTCATCGTCAGCTCGTTCTCAACGCTTACGTATGCTGTGTTATTCTCGTAGAGACTCTTGATGATGATTATGAATGACATGTCTTGGTACGCCCATTTCATCCAGGATGTGCCACACATTATATCATTGAACGTAATCGAAGCCCTTTTTGTACAATAAGGTATAAATAAGTAGGCATGATAAATTCTCTAATCTTTTCTATGATTCTTATGTTTAATATTTTTTCTCGCGTTCCACATCCTGGCACATCCCGCTTGCTCTGGTGGTAGTTGTGACAATATGTAAGGCTGTAGACGTTCTTCTAAGACGTTCTGCTAAGAACGTCTACAGCCAAGAGAGATAATTGTCACATATCTCTCTGAAACATTTTTTATGGACTGGGACATATATTATGTCGATTTAGTCCAGTCCTCAGATCCCAAATCAGCTGGCATATTCTGTGCATAACATAATATAATGTTGTCATCATTTCATCCACGACGTTATCGTGGTTTGTTTTCAGATTGGTGATTTGCTTGGTTTTAGTTTTCTGAGTGCAACACTTACTTCCTCTCTCATAACTGAGGGCTCTTTCTGTGTATTTGTTGAGATAAGATGTTTGCAGTAACTTTTCCTTCGTTTCAACTTTTTGACCTGAGATTTGTCAGTCAACAGTACACCTCCTCCGTTCTTATTGCTCGCGATTTTATGCCTTTTCGGTTGAGCTTTAGGGAACACATTAATCAGTTGATTGGTCGAGCTTATGGCCGTTAAAATTGATTTTCTCTAATCGTTATAGTCTCGACTGGCACACAAAAAAAACTTTTATGTGACTCTCTGATATTGTCATACTTCAATTACTGTGACAGCATATACGGGGCTTTTTTTGGATTCCAGGCATCAGGGAAAAATTCAAAACCTTAAGAACTCGTGCATCCGTTTAATTTTCGGCCTGAGGAAATATGATCATGTGTCTTTTGGTTTTAAGCAGTTAAAATGGCTGAACATGAAATCTCGCAGATACATCCACAAGACCTGCTTGTATTATAGGGTCATCACTGAAGATGATAACACCTCCTTCCCACCGGACAGAATTTTTCAAACGATGTTTTTCTTATCAGATGTACACCATATACAATAATTTACCTCGGCACCTGATTGCACTGCTCCTGAACCGATTTAAAAAAAAAGCATTAAAATGTTGAGTGATGGGTGGATGACGGAGGGCTTCTGTGTGTAGCTAGCTGTCTATGTGTGAATTTAACTTTTAACTTTTATCTGTCATTCTTCTATGAGTTTTCATTATTTCCTTGCAATTATCCTATTTTTTTTTTCGTTTTGTTGTTTATTTTACGGTCTTTCTTTCTGTTAAGTTGAGTATATGTTCGGGCTTTTTTCTCAATAACTAAATTAAATTTCTTTTATAATAGTTTGTGTTATTTTTTGTATTTTCATCATTTCTTTTTTTTTTGTACACCATTCTTGTACCCAATGAGGTATATTATCTATATATTATATTACTTCAAAAGATTGTACAGGGTGTCCCAATTTCGTTGTCCGCATAGGCTATCTCCGAAACTAAAAGAGATAGAAAAAAAATAGCTTACATGTCATGATCTCGTTTTTCGAGAAAATGTTAATGCTGAAAAGTTCGAACAGCTGAACTGAAAATTTTGCGAAAACGATAACCACGAATATCTCATTTATTATCAAACATGGAGTATTATAAATAAAACATTATATGGGCAACTTTTTACGAAGAATTCAATACCGTAGGTAGAATTTTTTCCAATCTTTTATTTTCGAGATTTTAGACGTAACTTTATTTTTTTAAATGGAAACCATAATTGGCTATGATCTAAAATAATTTGCTATTTTCTTCTATTAACAAATATATATAGTTTGTTGGGTATATTTCTTATAGTTATTGAATAATTAACAAAAATTCATTTTCTTCTATCTAAAACTAATGACATTATACATGGCGTGGATCCTTGTTACCAATATATATAGGAATAATCAAACGTATATCTTTTGCTTTTATTGGTATTTTTATTGTAAACTCTGCCTGACGCGTTTCGGCGATCTAAATCCAGCCCATTTGTTATTAAAAACTAAAAATAATCTTCGCAAGAAACATTTTGACCTTAGCACTTAAGAAGGAAACTAATATTTTATAGATGTAAGCCTCCGAAGATGGCGTAGATCGCCGAAACGCGTCAGGCAGAGTTTACAATAAAAATACCAATAAAAGCAAAAGATATACGTTTGATTATTCCTAATGACATTAGTTTACATACATTGTATGTATTTAAAAGTTAATGTTGCTATAGTGATAACCATACATACTATGATGGAAAATAATGTATCCAATAATTGCCAAGGTTTGTATTTAAAAATTCGCTATAAACTCTGTTATTATGTGCTGGTGCGGAGCACCAGCATATTAAGTGTCAAAGTATAACGAAACCGAATAAAACTTTACAATTCATTTTGAAAATTATGAAAAATGAAATATGATGGTATGCTATATGTTATCAGATAAGAATGAAGTTCTCAAAGAAGATTCGGGTTCAATGATACGATTTAATTAATAGAATATAGGGGGCATATAGTATCTACCATGAAATTTGCCATTAAATATGTCTCAAATGATATATTTTCAATATGACGGAACTCCAGCATATAATGCCAGAGTTGTTACTGAATGTTTTTGAATGGAAATGTTTTCCATCATGGTATGGTTATCTCTATAGCAACATTAACTTTTAAATACATACAGTAGTTTTAGAAAGAACAAAAAGAATTTTTGCGAACTGTTCAATAACTAGTAATAATAAATAGCTGTTCGGAGTTTTCGGCATTAACAGTTTCTCGAAATACAAGATCATGACATGTAAGCTACTTTTTGTCTATCTCTTTTAATTTCGGAGATAGCCTATGCGGACAACGAATTTGGGACACCCTGTACACAAGATTGTAATTATAAAATTGCCCGAATAAAGTGATTATTATTATTATTATTTCGGAGTAAAACTGCGCGTTATCTGTCTAATTTTCTTGAATGTATCACTGGTTTCGTTTTGTGTCTGTGTGTTGTTCTATTTCTAGACGTATGTCGTCAAGGTACTTATTCTTATCTTTCCTGCAGTCGTTTTTGATCTCTTTACACAGTGCTGTTAGTTTTAGGAACATAGCTTGGAAGTTAGTCGCCCTTGTCTCGATATCCCGAAAAATATCTGTTTAGACATTGTTGTCGTATATCTTCTTTGTTTTGCAGTTTTGTGATGAGCAAGTAACAGCGATATATGTTGCACTCTCATTTCATTATTCAATTTCCTAACTGTAGACGCGCTAGCTAATCCTAATCTGTGTCGCCCGGTATTGGTTTCTCTCCTGATCTCTATTAACCTACGAAGTTACCAAATTATACATTACCTGCTTTTTAATTACCTAGGCATTAATGAGTAAGAAGGAAATCATCAACCAGATAAAACAGTTTTCAATCAACTACGTATCAAAGAGCTATTACGCAGGTTGAAAGATGAAGGCTGTGGAACAGATTAAAAATGAGTATAAAATCACTACAGTGAGATAAAATGAGCTGATTGGGAAGAAACTCCCAGTACACTGATAGACTCGATATTTTTGGACGATAATCAGCAAACTGAAACCATGGAGGAGAATAAAATTAGCTACTAATTACATGTTCCCAAAGATGTACATATAATCAAGGAAAAGCGGCTGTAATAAAAAATGAATCTGCCTGCTCATCTACCTACAGAAGCATAGAAGAGGTATTTTGGACACATATTTTAGAAACCGCCAAGATGCGTCAGAAAACATCAAAAAGTGTCTAAGTGTAGCAGAAAGTGTCAAAATGTAGCAAAAGGTGTCAACATACTAAAATATGTAAAAAAGGGTTAAAGATGTCAATAAGTGTCATAAATATCAACAGTATCAAAAGTACTAATAGTGCCAAAACGTTTTGGGGAGTGTCAAAATGTATTAAAAAGGTGTTGAGTAGCCTCTTCTCCCTCTATGATACGATCCACGTCTCACAGCTATACACCCATTGGCTCTTTGTAGCTTTTGATAGGCCGTCTGACTTCAAGTTTACCCAAAAGGTCACCCAAAAACACATTCAAAATTTATTTCTCTTTTTCAATTTTTAACTAAGATTGTTTATTTCTCATTAAAATTTAGCGAATTAAAAAAGTCCATTTAATAAGTACATTGGCATTTTCATCTAAATGAATCAAATCGATTATAAACAATTTATTTCTTTTCTACTTTCACTCTTTGCTCTCATGTTACGTGTGGTTTTCTTAGAAGAAAGCTCCGTGCAACTATTAATTCAGCAATATTAGTTAAGTTCCATCTTTGACAAACCGCAAATTACTGATGTCATGGTTGTGAGGACGACTTTTAGTGATATTAAATCGAAAACAATCTCTCATTTGATACAGAGAAAGCTTCATTGTTAATTTACGATTGCTTTGATTCGTTTTTCTTTGTGATTATATTGTAGGAAAATTTTTATAAAATTTAAGATTGCAGGTGGTCCAATTTCTTTCCAATAACCTCACTAAATCCAATAATGGTACACGTTGACCTCGATATCCAATCGATACCTCAATTTTCAAGCGTTCATTCGACATTTTCACGATAAGATTATCACAGTGGGTCGTTTATTGCATAAATATTGACTAAATTTTAAATCGAAAAGTGTACTTGAGTTTTAGATAAATGACTTGCATTAAATTAAAATAAAAAATTGATATTTTATTGATTTATTTTTTACAATTTTGACCTAATCTTTTCTAATTCAGACTTTACAACGCTTTGAAGTTGAGTTAATTTCATGGCGACACCCATATTTCCTTGCACTTTAATTTTACCGGCGAAGAAAGCTTTTTGTGGGTTGAGATCTCCTCGAACTAATTGGGAAACGTCATCATCGTTTATCATAAAAGTTACATCGGGTTTTGCTAGAAATCAAAATTAATAATTAAAATTAATATAAATACGAAAATGTAATTTCTTACTATTTGAATTAAATTCCACCTTTCCTTTTCCTTCTTTCGTATTAATTAACCAAAATCCTTCGGTCCCATCCGCCCTCTTTACTTTAAATCCAAAGAGTCCTCGGAATTTTTCAACCAAGTTATCGTCGTCCAATTGAAAAGCTTCATTTAAAATTCTTAAATAAGGTGCCACTTTGAATCCTTCATCTGTGGTTGCCATTGCAACGAAACGAGGTGATACTTGAACCATTTTTTTTAATTTTAAAATTAATTTTTGAATTAAATTAATTTTTAATTACGACCCTTTTGAAGGTTGTTTGAGTGAATAAAACATCCTCGTAGAAGCCGAATTTATATTAGTCGAGTTATCTCAAGGAGGGCAATCTTATCATGTTTTGTTGTTGGAAAGTTTATTTTGCTTTATTGAGATTTATTGTGTAAAGGAAGAGTTTCCGGTGTACAAATAGAAAGTGGATTTAAAAAAATTCTTTTATTAAGAAAAGTAACAATTATAATTTTGATCTAAACTTATCTAATTCGGATTTTATGACCGACTGAATTTGGGTTAATTTCATAGCGAGTCCCACGTTGCCTTGGATTTTAACTAACCCCATGAAAAAAGCTTTTTGTGAGGGAATTTCACCTGTTAATAATTTTATGACATCCTCATCGTTTATTATAAAAGTTACATCAGGTTTAGCTATGGAAAATATAAATTAAATCATGTCAAAATATGAAAAAGAAATTTACTGCTCGAATTAAACTCAACTTGCCCTTTTCCCTCTTTAAGATTAATAACCCAAAACCCTTCAACGCCATCGCTCCTTTTAACTTTAAGACCATAGATGCCTCGAAATTTTTCAACATGATTGGTTTCGTCTATTTTAAGGGCTTCATTGAGAATCCTTAGATAAGGAGATAGTTTAAACCCATCATCGGTAGAAACGTATTTCGACATTCTAAAAAAAATCAAATATTTTTTAATGGTAAATCAGAAAGCGTAAATTTTTAATGAGAGTGACTTGGCAATTTAGGACTTTGTTTATCGAAATTGGGTGAGATCCACTAGTAAAGTCTTCTAGGTATTGTGTATTTCGGTGAAAGAGAGTAGGTGAAAGCAAATCCAGATTATCATTACCGAAAATGAGCAGTTGCGCTTCTCGTCACGTTCAAAGCGAATTGAGAAATAGTGGAAAGCGCGTTCAAACGTGAAAACTATTTCTATTGCATATGTAATTGTTTAATATTTGCGGGGATGTTCCGTTTTAGGGTCCACGGACCCGGATTTTAATTCGAAATTTGCATGCAACGCGCCGCGGATATTCGTTAAATTAATTGAAGTATGCATCAAATTTGCCAGCCAGTTAATTAAACTTTACAATTGAATTACAGGATTCCGAAACTTATCACTTGAATCACATTTCAACTATTTCAAACGTTAATGAAAATTATTTCATTTTTATACTCAAGCAGTTCAAATGAACCATAAACGTTGAGTTCAAGGATCGCTTTCACCGAACAGGTTCTTATTCTCGTGCATCTGCTTAAAGCACACGTGCTGGTTGACTCCTTCGAGTTGAGTCAAAGTATATTCGTAAATTCTTCGAATACCTCAATGACTACTGCATCTAAAAAAAGAAAGTTTTTTTCTTACTCACATTTTCTTTCTTTTATACAGGATGTGTTGTTCACTCGAACGAGTCGTTACGAAAACTGCAATCCACCTTCCTCATCCGACGCATTTTCAGTTCCGTTTTAAACCGGTAAATTGGTCGGTCAAGGTTTAAATAAAATTAACGATAGAAGTTAATTACACCCAGTTTTTTAATTGTTAATTTAAAAACGTCGAGTTGAATTGGAAAAGTAGGATCATCGCGAAATAATTTGGCGGAGGTCGTTGAATCACAGCAAGATCGTCCCAATAACACACATTTGAGAGTTTTGAGACTTCGTGATTTCTTTCAGACTATATTTAGAAATTACTACGTTTTTCTAAAAAAAATTGAATTTCTTTTTTTAATTTTTGAGTAAAATTGTTTACAATTTATTGAAATCAACAAAGAGAAACTTGCTTAGTCATGTAAACGTAGTATCCACATGATTTTATCAACGCAACTTGAGTTATTTATATAAAAAGATACACTTATACTATAAGTGTTACGTCGATAACTAACAGATTAAATTTTTTTCCTTAATCTTAATAACATTACTCCGATATTTTTCTTATCTCTTTAAATTTAAATATAAATTTTACGTATTTTTAAATAGAAATTAATATTTAATTAAATTCGTTAAAAAATCTGTTTCGACTAATTTGTCATCATCAGGCTAAATCTTTTATTTACGGTTTTATATACAGGGTGTTTCATAATATATACGCAGGATTTCAGGATGTGATAGCTTGTCCAAAAATTTGAAAAAAAGTTTCTATCAACTTACCCTCTAAAAGGGTGTTAAATTTTAAATAAAATAAACGTTTTTTGTGAATATCTCCGGAACTCTTTTTAAAGTCATAATTGGTGAAGATTTTGAAAGGTTAATGGTTGTTTTTCTCCCCAACTTCTACGCCACTGGAAAAAGTACGGTTTTGAGACGCCCATTTGAACCATCAATGATTTCTACACAAAAAAGGTACTGTAGGTCATGAGCTCTAAAGTTGACTTTTCAAAATTCTCCAAACCGTAAAGGTAACGCATTTCGCACATTTCAGCGTTTGTGTAAAAAATATAACAAAAGCTACCTCCGGTCAAAATAACAATTAGTTTATACCTGCAAAAAGTAAACTTGTATTACAACATTAAAAATAAATTACACAAATGCTGGAATGTGCGAAATGCATTACCTTTACGGAATGGCGTGCGGTAATTCGGCAGAAGCAAGGTTGTATCAAGAAAAACATCCGTACATCCGTAAAGAAGAGTACCTTTTTGTACATGGATGCAAGACAAAATAGCTCAAAATCCTGAGTTTGAAGCCGAAGTTGGGATGGTATTTTCAATTTTCACAATAACCACATATGGGCAGAAGAAAATCATGAAATTGCAGAAGGCCATCATCAGCAACAATTTTCCGTAAATGTTGCTGATGATGGCAACACGATGGGCTGCCATCGTCGATGATCATTTGATAGGCCCACATTTACAATTTTAGGCACACATCGACAATTCCTAGAAGAAGTACTGCCGGAACTGCTGGATGACTAATATAAATATATAACTAAGACAATTTATCTTAAATGATTTTGCATTGAAGATATTAATTCCTTCAGTTATCGTTATTCTTCTTGTTTTACCAAACTCTGCTCAATATTTTTCTTCTGTAACCAGACCCTTTCTAGTTTTTCTTCAGTCTCTGGTGGTCTTTTCTTCTCTTACTAAAGTTCTACCTTCTCTGGCTGATCCCTTATTACCTTTACAATTTATTTCCAGTTTTCGTCTTCCCTAGTCAGTCTCTCTTTCTCTTTCCAACATTTCATTACTTTCAGTGTCTGTTCCAGTCTCTTTTTGCTATAATTTTGCACTCTCTAGTCTCTATCCATTCTCCGCAGTCTCCTTCTTTTATTACCACTCCAACCTTTATTCAACTTCATTCCTCTATTATTGATTGGAATTAATATCTTCAATGCAAAATCATTTAAGATATTAATTTCTTCAGTTATCGGTCTTCTTTTTGTCTTACCAACCTCTGCTCAATATTTTTCTTCTGTAACCAGACCCTTTCTAGTCTTTCTTCAGTCTCTGGTAGGTCTTTTCATCTCTTACCAGAGTTCTACCTTCTCTGGCTGATCCATTATTGCCTTTACAGTTTATTTCTAGTTTTTGTCTTCCCTAGTCAGTCTCTGTTTCTCTTTCCAACATTTCATTACTTTCAGTGTCTGTTCCAGTCACTTTTTGCTATAATTTTGCACTCTCTAGTCTCTATCCATTCTCCACAATCTCCCTCTTTTATTACCACTCCAACCTTTATTCAACTTCATTCGTCTATTATTGATTGTTCAATCTCTTCCTTCTAATGTAAAATTCATCACAATCTGAATTTCCTCTGTTTAGTTCCTTCCTTTGTCGTGTCTCTTTCTTCATTTCCTACTATAACCAGTTCTTTGCTATTCGCCTTCGTTTCTGCGCAGTCTCTTTCTTCTACCAACAATCTCTTATTTGCCTTTTCCATATCTGTTCACTATATTTCTGGTATTGTTAGTTTATTTAAACTTTCCTCTTCTCTCTCAAGTCTTTTTCTAATATTTTAAGTTCCTTTTCTATGCCACTCTTGTTCGACAATTTACAATCGTTGAAATGTGGTTTACACCAAGCTTATCATCTACAGCATGAAAAATTGCCCAACAAAAGTTGTTAACCTTAATTCTTATAAATTAAACTCAGCGTCAATATGTGGAGGGGGAAGCTGTTGCTTTCATTATATTCGCTCTAATTTTGTAAAAGTGGCAATAAGAAAACACCATATGGCCTGTACTAATCTACTAAGTTCTAGATCTTTTGAGTAGTTAAGCCGAGGTCGCTCGCGGCCGAGGCTCAGTGATTGATGTTATTACATAAAGTTAAAACTGGTCATCGTATTGCAAGCCTAAGTTCACAGAAGATTGTAGTGCTAAAAGAAGAAGAAGTGGTTGTCAATAAATATTATATTGAATTTTGTTATTTCTAGAGTGGGTTAGGTTTAGATCTTTTTTTCAATTTCTGCAGTAAAATTAAGTCCCAAATCTAAAAGATAACGTCGACATATCTTATTTATTCAATAAGTTATTCTTCTGCCAGCAGTATCTAGTCCTCTATTACCAGTATCTAATGTTCTGCCAGCTATTTACAGTCTTTTGCAGAAAATATTAAGTCTTCACCTAGTTCAGAAAACGACGAAGCTTCTGAGACACCTCCACTAGCCAGAAATATCCGTAACTATAGCATGGCAAAACTACCTTGGTCGGTTATATTTCATATGGGATGTTGGGACCATGACTTAATTAAATTTAGCCGCAACGACAACATGATCAGTTTCTAGTTGATACAATTTTAATCACTGAGCCTCAGCCGCAAGGCTTAATTAGACAACAGAACTACAATTTTACCTGGTAAAGCCAATGCCGTTTGCGAAAAATGAATAAGCTGTTAAACAATATTCAACGAATATTAGAGTTTGGAGTCATTTGCAAAACCCGGATGATACTCATTGAATATGTACCTTGAATCCGAGTAATCAGAAATTCCGGATGTAAACCTATAAATTTATTGTATCTATTCATGGTGGGCTAGAATATTTTGGCGGGGCTGCAACTAAGTTGAATTTGTTTTTCAAAAAGCCACATGTAGGCACTTCTTTCACACGTGATAACTTTGTAATGAAAATGCAACTTTCCGAGGACGATGATATTGAGGTTGACCTAGTTGCTTAGCATGATCAACACAAGAAAGTAGCTGATCAAGCCTATGATGTTACAATTTTTTTTGATATAAGAAATAATTTCGGCCAACTTCGAAACTTCCCCAAGTATCAGGAACAATACTTATGGCAGTCAACTTCGAAGACGTCGGCTGTATCAAGGATCATGAATAACACTATCAAAAGTGATATAAAAAATAATCTCCCAAGTATCACGAACAATATTTAGAGCGGCCGACATCTTCGAAGTCGGCCGAGATCGTGTATGCGTAGAAGCATCCGGCAGATAGAGAGCTGGATAAGAAGGGAGGGAAATTGTACGCCCTGTTTATAGATCTGAAGGCGGCTTTTGATAAGGTGGACAGAGGGAAGTTGTGGGAGGAGATGGGGAGGAGGGGGATCACGGAACACCTAATAGCGAGAGTCAAGGAAATATAAAGGAGACTAGGGCTAGGATAAAAGTGGGGGATAAGCTGAGCGACGTGTTCTGGACGACGAAGAGACTGAGGCAGGGATGTCCGCTGAGCCCAAGTCTGTTTTCATTGTATACGGCGGACTTGGAAGATAGATTGGGGAAGGAGCAGATGGGAGCGGATAACATCGTGATCATGGCGAGAGAAGCGGTGGAGATGAAGGATATGATAAAGACCTTAGAAAGATATTTTAGGAGGAAGGGTTTGGAAGTGAATGTGGGGAAGACAAATATGATGAAGTTTTGTAAGGGTGGGAGAAAAAGAACAGAAAACTGGAGATGGGAGGGAAAGGAGATCGAGGAGGTTAGGGAGTATACTTACCTGGGGTATGTGTTTAGGGAGGATAACAGGGAGGGGTCGCATGTGAAAGCTATGGCAAAAAAGGCGAGAGGAAGATTATGTTTGAAGGTCTGGTTAGCAGTGTGATGATGTATGGGGCAGAGATATGGGGATGGAGGAAGCAGGAAATGCGGGGGGACGTGCAAACTAGATATTGGAGATGGGTGCTTGAGGTGGCGAGAGAAACACCGAGGTATATATTGAGGGAAGAGGTAAAGGTGGATAAGGTCAGAGTAGAGGTGGGCAGGAGGGCAGTGAGATATGAAGAAAAAATAGAAGGGAGGCCAAACTACGGGATCTTGGGGGAGTATTGGAGGGAAATTAGAGAGGGAAAGGTCGTATATGGGAAAGGAGACAGAGACAACTAGGTGGGTAGGGAGATGTGGAGGGAGTTGAGAGATAGGGACCGAGATGTGCAGAGAGAGAAGAGGGAAGGTATAGGGACATAATTACGGAGGGGCTGCCTAGATACTTGCCAATGAAAGGAGATGAGGAAGGGAAGAAGGTGGTGGCTATGTTCCGTTGTGGAAACGAGGAGAGAGCTAACAGATACTGGATGGCCGATGAGGAGAGGCTGTGCAGGCTGGAATGGGAAACGTTGGAACATATGTTGAATGGGTGCAGTGAGTTGAGGGAGGAGGAGATGGACCGCGGGCAGATCTTGG